GTGCAGCTCGCTTATAGACAGACGCGATGTGGTGATTTGAAGACATTTGCGTATTTTGAGAGAGAAAGAGAGAGCGCGTGCGCGAGTGGTGACTTACGAACTTACGGTTTAATAGTGGTGTTTGTGAAATTACGTCTCAAACGAGGTTTTCAAATTATTTAAAGTTATTTAATGAAGAAATATGAAGGTGAGTACCTCACCTTCAGCATTATAGTTATTTCACCCGTGCCGGAGAGAGACTGAGACGGTGCTGCTGCATGTCGTGCCAAACCTCTCACGGCAGCGTCATCAGCTTGAGATCGTTTTTTTGAGATCTGCCTTTTTAGAGACCGCCGATCAATCATCCCAACGTGATTATCGGCCGATAGTGATCGGTAGCCGATCAATCGGAGCACCCCTAGTCCATTTAGGTTAAAGGCTGACATTCTGTCCCAAGAATCTTTTCATAAATTAATGGATTTGTCTTCATGGTCCTCATAATTGCCATTTGGGAGTAATGTTTCCATTATGGTGATTTTTTTATATATATATGTGTGTGTGTATTAGAGGTCGACCGATTGATTTTACCGATAGCAAGGTTGGACCACACTAGCCAAAAACAGATTAATCAACCTATAGTTTTTAAAATGGATACTGAATGAAAACTAAATAGTGCTGAGCTTTACTTAAAAAAAAAAACAAAAAAAAAACATGCTTTTTAAATAGAATAAAAATATTAATATGAAATAATAATTATAAATACTGCTACTTCTACATAAATCATATCATTTATCATTTCATATAAATTCAAACAGTCATGCTTAAAAATGGCCATGTTTAAACATCTACACAAAGGCCATAGCACTGAAATTACATACATATGTATATTTTATTTTATGTAAACTCTCACTCTTTGCTTTTATTTTGGAGCGCTTGATGGTCATTCAATCAAAATAACAAAAAGCACACTGGACAAAAAAACTTTTTGGGGCCAGGGACCGCTTACAGCGGAGAAAAATTTCCAAGGACCCCTTCATAATTATAACTGTGATTTAAGTATATGCTTACTGCAGTGTGTACTCTCAGATGCCATTGGAACTTACGGTTTAATTTTTCTGGACTCTGTTTCAACGGTTAAATTAAATTGTAGTAATCTAAAAGCACATCTAATTAATTGAAATAATAAAACTTATAAAATGTAACAACAATTTATTTATTTGTACAATAATAGGGCCCTATGAAATGCTATTTATCTATTTATTTGTTCATTCATTCAAGAAATTCTGTGTTGCCTGTTTTAATGTTTTTCTATGTGTATGATTTAATACAAATTTATTATCAAAAACGGTGGTAATAAGATGAAGGCGTCAAAACATTAACTTTCAAAATATAATCAAATTAAAATGTAACTATTACTTACATTTTTTTGCCAACAAAGTGCTGCACAACATAGGTTTACTGTTAAAACTTAAGTCTTTCCCCGCTATTGACGAGTTATCTCGTCTTTTACAAGAAAACGCTTCCCGCCAAAGATAAGTTTTTACGGCTTTTCGTGTTTTCACTGTTATACACTCGGGGGCGCTATTACGCATCTTCTGAACAAGTACAAAACCTCCCAAACAAAAACACACATGAGATGGAGAAACTAGTGATCTCTTATGTAAACCGATGCATATGAAAAATAATGCGATCATCAGCAATAGACAGCATGTAAATGAAAACTGCATAAAGTTACAGAGTAAAATGTTGATCCAGGAAGTGGCATATGTCTGTGCAAGCTTTGGAGGTATTGATGGAAGCGATTTACTGGATTATGCTTTGATAATCGTACTGAATATTATCCAGATGTAATTTTTGATAAAAATGTGATTTTCTCACCTTTTTGGTCAAAATAATGCATTTTTTATGAAACCTACCCATATTCAAGTGTTGATAAAAAAAAAAAAAATGCATTAAGCTAGAATAAAACAGATTTTTTTTTGTTTAAAAGTAGAGGCTCTGATCTTTATTTTGGTGTATTGCATATTCAAATATTCATACAGCAAAATATACTGGAGGCCATCAAATTTTAGTGAAAACCATCAAAATCGCTGGCGGTGGCTCGCAACTTTTTTCAAAAATGCTGGCGGGGAAAGAGTTATACATGGAAGAAGAATTGTGTGATTATTTCTATAGAAATATTATTATTATTTTTATTACTTTGAGGCGTACATTCTATTGTACAATAGTAATATGTTTCTGTCAAAATTTCTTCAGCTTAAACCGGACTTTTATTTTGACAAGTTGTCGTGAAGACCTTTGTGTTTCTGTGTGTGTGTGTGTGTGTATGATATGACAATAGTTTTCTCAAAGGAAATGGTGAATTGCTGGTGAAGTGACTCTCACAGCAGTTCTAAAAATAAAGTTCATGTGTTTATATCCTCATATAGTGAGACAACAGAAGCGGGAAACACCATGAGCGCAACGCGTGCTTCAGTATGTGTGTAGAACATGAAATTGCGGCTCAGAGACGAAACTCAGAGACGCGCAGAGCATGCAGACTTTATTATATGCGCTTTAATATATACATACAATCCTTATAGCGATTTCATTAAGACTACAGCGCTACTTTAGATTTTATCATTCAAGATTTGCCAAATTCCGCGACATTCTGCGTTATATAGAAAATTCTATTTGAATGATTGGATTCTGCGATTTCCCTCCGCATTTTCCACATCGCGAAAATCATACAGACCTAAAATTATTTTGCGGACCCCCTGGCTATGAGTCACGGACCACCAGTTTGAGAACCCCTGCACTAGAGGAATGAACAAAGTACACACCATTTCATTGTCTGTTTTAAATCCGCGTCTGAATTGTCCCGCTCTGTGCAGCACGCAGCCTCACGAGTCAAAACAAATAGCACGAGACGTCAGTGATTCTGCCTCTAGAGGACGCTCTTGTACTTTCTAATGACAGCGGACCCTTCTCAGCCACTCCAACAACGGACGCAACCCGGAAAAACTATCGGTATGGATTTTTGCCGATAGTTCCAGCAATCAACTATTGGTGCCGATTAATCGTCAAAACGGATCAATCGGTCAACCTCTAAATATATATGGTCTGTGTTTCATCAAATTAAGCATCCTTATCATACCACTCTCTGTTTTGGTGACTCTCTGGCTTTGTCTCAAAACCTAGTGAGCTTGCCTAGCTTAGGGACTGCATTTTTGGGTATCATAGGTCATTCAAACATGCATATGATGCCCCAAAATTCTGTCAAGGTGAACATTCCCTAGCTCTAGATCCTTACTCCTCATTTTGTTCTGTTGTCTGTCTCTCTTTATAATCTTCTCATGATGAGAATTGTAGGCACTTTCAATTTAAGCTTGTATTGTAATACAGTGAGTTCAATGCCCCTCTGTAGGTTGAGTCGCTGGAATGCATCTTCGATGGGCCATCCACTGTAGTGAATGAGGAGAGTCCTCCGCCTCCTACTACTCCCCTCTCCAACCCGTACCCTCAAAGTCCTGTGACCGTCCAGGTAACAGTTTCCCGTCTGACTTGGCAAACATCTTTATGTGCTTCTGATGTAATACCTGCAGCTTGCCAATTCTGTCTTTGTCATATGGCTGTCATGTGCGGACTGGTGTAGGTCATCTCCATGTGATCAGCGTGACTGGTCGATGCAGCTTTTCATTGTTTCATGATGATTTGCATACATTTTATCAAACAGGCTTAATGGTGACACTAGAGGGTACAGTGCAGATCTTGCATTGTACCTCTCATTGTCTTTCCTATTTGTATTTATGCAATATTTAATTTTGATAGGTGCATGAGCCTGCTAGAATCTACACGTGTGGGTTCTAGTTAAAATGATAGACTTGTGTTTTTAAATGCAACAGTTGTTTGGCTATATATGTTGCAAGCAATAGCTTTGCTGTTGCATTCGTTATCTGTTGGTGCATGCCGTCATGCATGGAAGCACCTTTGCTTCCACAGAGCATGGCCAATGTTTTTTCCAGCTTTTTCAGATTTCAATTAAAAACTGATTACTGCATGAAATGGTCATTATATAAGATGAATAGCAAATTCCTCGTTGACTCTTGTTTTTGACTGACTTATCTGGTCTCGGGATTTATAAGGTGGAAGTGCTTATTCAGGCCTGAAAACAATTAGCATTTTATTGCCGCACACATCTAAGAATGAGGTGTTGGTATGGGTTTGAGGTGAGCCTGTGTCCTTCAGTCACTTTTCTCATACAAATCATGAGCCTTGAGCTGCCTCCCATTTCCCGTCAGTGACGTCAGTCCTGATATATCTCCCCATGTGGCAAAATTGAATGGCTTGATCGCACATTCAAGAAAGCATCAGGAGAGCACGACGAATGCGAAGAGGTCAAGGTGCCATAGCGCCGTCCCCTACAACCCAGGAATTTCCACAGGCACAGGGAAGGATGTTACCCTGCTTCATCTCCAAGACAACTTGAGGAAAAAGGGGAAAACATCGTCTTCTCATTTATCACAGTGTAGCAAATAGACACTGCAGCCAGAGAGGCACAGCATTGGAGTAACGTCTGCATCGCAAGCCTGTGGACTAATTTCTTTCAGGCAATCAGAGAGGAGCGCAGTCAGTGCTAGCCTAGTCAAGCACCCAGTTTCACTCTCTCAGCTTCCTGCTGACTCATTTTGATCTGAAAGAGACGAACACAAGCACCTGCAGCCGTCTGCACTGCGCTCACATCCCACCACTGCACAGCCGCGATCGCATCAGTGTGCCAGGAACTGCATCAGCCACAGGAGTGAGAGATAGAGAGAAGGTGAAACGAGTATTATTACAGGGGGCTGCACCGATTGTGAAGCGCTTTATTTCTGCAGCAGTTTGTGTGCGTCAGGCAGCCTGTTTTTTTTTTCTCCTGCCCTACGTTCTGCTCTTTATAGGTACCTGCACCGTATTTTTTTGGCGCCGGCACGCACTATGTGCAGAAATTGGTTTTGAGATGCCGGCGTAAGAAGAGGTGGAGGGGGGCAGGTCAGAGTCAAGAAACGAGTTCTATTTCACCGGAGCGTGAACCCCACACACGAACACTCCAGCCTTAGCCCACAATGCTCAACACAGTGTGGTATGCTAAAAAGATGGGTCGCCGGATCATGGGTACCCTAAGGAGAACCAAGAGGCGACATCTGCACTTGTTGGTAGGTCTGGAACTCCGCAACAAGAAAATGCTGCGTGTCAATCACTGCAGTGAATACAGAACTTGCTCTCGGTAAAGCAAATGATGAATGCTTCAACTTAGTTTTCGATGTTGACATAAGTTACTTGATTTGCTATGTATAAAACAATTTATTGTGCATCATTTGCAGTGGCATTAATCAGATTCATAACAAGTAAAATGTCCTTCCACTCAAAAGACAGTATAGACGATATAATCATGCCTAAGATTGCGAAGCTAGGTGCATTAACAAAGCAGAGGTGCGTAATTTTTTTGTTAATACGTCATGGAGTCTGAAAGGCACTGATTGACTGACTGTCTCGTAAGGCCATATTAAAGTCATTTGTTTTGTTGTGTGAAATATGAGTATTGTTCTGCATTACATTGTGGCAGTAACCTGCATGAGTGTGTGATGTCTGGCACGTCATTGTGTTTGTTGAGAAAATGTGAAAGCACATATCTCTTCCCTCTGCTGCCTGGCAACCTGCGTGCCTCTGTCATGCAGCAGTGCTTGCAGTGTCTTACACACACACACACACACATACACACACACACACACGGTGTGCGCTGCACAAAGCATGTACGTTACAGATGTGAATGGCAGCGATGCTTTGCCACTGATCCGATCATGGTTTTTGAACACATTGGAATGCTTAAGCTCATTTAACTGTTCAGATGTACTGTTATGGTCCCTAGTCACCAAATGATGCATGTAATTTGTTATCAAAGGCATGTTACATGTTTAAATACCCATGATAGCTTGGGCTGTACCTATTGCTAGGTTGTTGGAAGGCGCTGTTTGCTTGTTTTTGTGTACATACATTCCAGTCCCTATCAAGACACAAAATACTTTGCAATTGGCCTCTTTACATTTTAATCATTTAAATCATGTAACTGCTACATTATCTGGATAAAACCCTGCAGATAACAAGTCATTGTTCAAGTTGAAGACGTCAGTAAATGTAACCTTAATGGGATTCCAAAAAGGGTAGATTAAACATGTTTCATTTACGAAAAGAGTAATAAACAATCCAAGTGTTTGGCTGTCCACAGATGTTCTGTTAGCATTAGGCCTCTGTGGAATCTGCACACAGAATTCCTCTGAAAACTCAACAAATATCCACATATTTGTGGCGTTAAGGGCTGGTCATCGGTACAGATTTCCCTAGTCGTTCCTAGTCATTCTGATTTATAAGCTCTCTGTTTGATATAATTTTATTTAATTGAGATTCATTGGGAATATTGCAGTTTTCTTTATGTTAATTATGTAAACTATTTAGAGAAATGTAGCATAAGTGTAGCACAGGGCCGGACTGGGACGCAATTTCAGGCCGGGAAATCTCACACTCATCTAGGCCACACAGAAAAAAGAGGCCAAAATGGTACCTTTTGGGGTACAACAGCTTGTCACTGGAACTCTTAAAAAAACTTAAAAGAAGAAGGATCTTTTTGTACCTTTTTTTTTTTACCCCAATATATATTAGTATACCTTATAGTAATTTGTACACATAAGTTACTAATATGTACCTATTAGGGGTAAAAAAAACAACAAAAAAAAGACATTTTTTTAAGGGTACTGCTCCAGTGACAAGCTGTTGCCCAAAAGGTACAATTTTGGCCCCTTTTTTCTGTATATAGCCTATACACTGTATATAGCCTACAAATTCTGAAACCACAGATAACCCTATTATTTAAATGGCTATCACATAAAAAATTTCTAAATCCTTAGTCTGGGTTAAGGGTTGTCTCTTGAACTGCACCTTCACTTCCCTTTTCCTTTTCTTCATTTTCTCCAATATCTCTGTATCTCCATTTTTTTCTAGTACCTATCACTTCTTCACCAGCAGGTCTACTGTTAGGATTAGAACTGTGTCCTTCTTGTTGCAAAATGACCACCTCATTGCAATTTGTTATCACAGAATGTTATTTATCTTAAAATGACTTAAAGGGTCATGAAACCCCCTGTTTCAGCACTAGTTAGTTCTCTCCACAGTTTTAAAAAACGCTAAAAAAGTGGGCATGGTGCGCTGCGAGTGGAGGGGGAAGAGGTGAGACAGACAACACACACAGCTTTGCTTTCAGACAGTTTCATTTCGCTCCCATCGAGTTAAAAGCACAAATAAATGCACAGCCATTTGCACTCTGCATCGGAAACATATATGAATGCGCTGTTGCACCTCTGATAACTTTTAAGGCTCATTCTGCGGCATTTATATAAGCCTTTTTACAGGTTGTGTCACGGAGCTGTAAAAACGGTTACACTCACTAAGTGAATGAATCGCGTTTGTGCCGAACTCTTATTACAAAGCAAAAACAAACACTCTCCTTCGATCCATGAACGTTTCTCTCAGTTAATGTGCGCGATCTCACAGTCTGAAGCGTCTGTCATAGCAAATCAACACATGCTGTTGTGAATTATTAAGCGAAGCGTCTTCTCATTGGATAAGAACACGCAGTCTCATGAATAATTTAATAGACACCGATGCGTCATCGATGTACTGAATTGTGACGTCAACACAATGTAGATTTTAAACCCGGAAGATGAAAAAGGCTTAAAATTAACCGTTTTTCTCCAACAGTTAAAATTATCGGATGCTAACATTGTCATTGTCTATGATGTACAACACAAACTCCTCTGCTAAATTCTCAGAAAAAGTAATCTGGGGTTTCATGACCCTTTAAATTGTACAAACCTATGTTTCATACAAACATATCAAAACACATTTTCTAAAGTGGCAAAATGTCTAAATCAGTACAATATCTTCCTTGAAAAATCCTAATACTAAACACACTATAACATTATTAGGCTGTGAAATGTTTGTGTTGCTGTCTGCTCAAACTTCCTCCCTTCCTATACAATAAATCCATGTGCACATCTGTCTGCTAAATTTATTAATGTAACTTTCCAATCGATAATGATGTCCTTTAGTACAGTATTCTGAATGATTATAATAATAGGGTGCCCCTGATAGCCTAACAGGTGCTAGCAGTTTAATACTCAACTAGGTTAATAAAGACAAAACTGCAGTAGCGTATTTAGGCCTACAGCTGAAACTGACCTGCACTTGAAGTCCTGAACAGTAATTTCGCTACATTTCACTGCTTCTTCTGGCCACTTCCTCTCCTTCATCGAGTCCCACGCATCGGTTCTGTTCAGAACCATTTCAAGGAAGCGGCAGAACAGACGTGAAGCGCCGCACTGCCAGTCAAGACCGATTTATGATTTATTATCGAATGACAAAATCGGAAATTAGCACTTTAGTATCAGGCTTTAGTATCACATTGAGAAGGCAAAAATATAAAATATTATTATTAATAACAACAACAACAAA